CATTACACGGACCATCAAAAAAATGGTGGTTATTTTGCAATTTCATATTATTTCATATTTTCTGCATAGACAATCTAGGATTTTAACGAATACAATTAACTCTATTGTTATATCTAAAGAAGATATAAAGCATTCAACACTAAAATATCATCCCCATCACGAGGCCAATTAGGGAAGTAATGGCACCAAATGTACCACAGTGGTTTTTCCAAGGCAAGATAGACGGAAACCCAACCCATTCTAGACTGATTCTGAATTCAGAGTTTTTTCTTACCGGCTACCACCCAACGTTAAAGGATTCATACATCTCCCTAGGGTATTAATGTGTAAGTGAATATAACGAACTCAACTGGAACTCGAACCTTACTCCCCGATTCCCTAATCCGAGCCGCTATCCATTATTCCACGTGTCTCCAATTTAAAACGTCCCCACCCTAAATACTAACACTGAAACAAAAGAAATAAGAAGTAATTCGCAACCTGTTCTAGTTACATACAAAGAAGGTATTTCGGATTGAGTAAGGCTTCCTGATACTAGAGTGTATCAGGAAATGTGGAGAGCCGTAATCGCACATATTCTAAAGAGATACGGCATAGAAGAAGGAAGTTAGATCCTCAATGAATGAATAGTCATGGGTATGACGATAAACTACATCCGGCTGCAGGGCCTCTGATCGAGAGATTGGCGGTTTTGAGGAGCGTAGAACAACCTCTTAATTGCTGCTGTTTCCAGGTTCACCCTGACTCGGGGTGGTAGCACCTTTTAGGGTAACAGATATGGGCAAATAGTGAATCCCCAAACACAATGAAAGTAGAAAAGTACATTTTTACAGTAAAAGTACCAGCAACACATATTTATATTAAAAATTACCAACGATATATTTTTAAATCAGAACTACCAACAACAAATTTTATAGCAAAATGACCAACGATATATTTTATCTGTAATTGAATCCATAAAACTATTTTCAAAATATTTAGATTTTCACATTAAATAACCCACAGAAGTGTTGCGATGCCAGTAAACAAAATCAACCAACAAAATCAATGAATGAACCAGACTAGTGTCAAACTTGGCTTAGTTTATATTTGAAACTAGCTTAAAAGCTGCTTTATCGGGCGGTATTTAAATTAGCTCCGCGAAGGGCTCTTGATTGGGCCTTCATCACAATACGTAGAAGTAGATGAAATAGGCAACTATAATCTACAAAAGAACTCAACATTGATCGCTGCGTTTAAGTATTGCATTAATATTTATACATACTTTTTAAAAGTTCAATGATAATTCTACTGCCTCCACTTAATTAAAAGACAATTTGATGTACGTAGGTCCTTACTTTCCGTACAAACAATTATTTATGTTATGTTATCGTACAAAAAATTCGTCACAAAAATAACGTAAAAAATCGCCAAAAACAATCGCAGTAATGAAAACTTGGCATTCGCATTTATTATATATATATATATATATATATATATATATATATCAGTCTGTTAATATCTATCTTAGTCTCTTGAAATCCATCTATCTAGACATGGCACGTGGAACTAGAACAGTCTACCAAAGTGAGCGAAATAAAAGGTTCAGTTCGACATTCCAACCACCTGAAGAAGGTCGGAGCGTGCAACAGCCGAAACGTTGTAAGAAATATGGCGACAAAGGTGAGGACAATAGTCCGAATAATGTAAATTGTATATATATATATATATATATATATATATATATATATATATATATATATATATATATTTAATTACAATTAAAAGGTGCAAATATAATTTATAAATTCATGTATCATTCACACAAAAAACAAATATAGAGGTTAATGATTTAAATGGCGAAAATACTTCGTCGCAAACAATATAAATAAGATACATCAACCCCGAACCTGTATATGAATGATATGATCCCCGTTTATAAATTCCAGTTGCATAAGGTCTTTTTAATTTTTTACAAGCTTTTGTCTGTTCCTACAGACATCATCAGGCATGGAAGTAGATTTTGTTCTTGTTTTTACTTCTCAGTAATAAGAGGACAACGAAAATAAAGATGTAATCCGAAAAAATGCTATGAGAAATTTTAATTTGTAAATTATATTTGCACCTTTTAATTGAAATTAAAATAACTGATCCAACGTGCAACTCTCGGATAAGTGTGACATTACTGTAATTATTGAACAATATAGTTCATGCCATATTCACGGAAAATCTACCAGTAATAAAGAATTCTCTTATTGCTATATTTGTACAAAAACGCAGAACCTTAAAATTTAAATTCAAACTCAGCGTTGCGACCGCACGTTCTAAAACAATAACACATTTCTCTATTACTACTGAACAACGAGTTACACCCTCATGAGCAACTCAATACTTGCAGCCTCCGTTCACTCTTTCGTTTTCACTTCTTACTTACGCCTTTGCTGAGGAAACCTTTAAACGTTTCTCTTTTTGTTTCTTCTTCTTTTCTTCAGAGCTTAAAAAGGTCAGTAATGGCGTCGTGACCCTTCGTTTGTAATGACAATAGGCATTCAGACAAGCAACAGCCGCGTCTCTGTGCATTTCTTTGTTTATTGTTTCCCATGACCTGCCATTCATTCTTTATCAGGAGAGAAGAGGATTACAAGAATAATCAACCTCGAGGCAGATCTCTTAAGCTTAGTTTAGTCTGGTTGGCGAAAGAACGAAATTGGCGCAACATAATCTTCCTACCTCAATTTAACAAATGTTTTACATAAGGCAACATCTACTAAATACCAAGAAATATTGATGAGATCGTTATCCATTTTCCCCTATTTTCGAAAATGAAGAGGTTTGAGGTGACAGAAATGCGGTTCTACAGAAGGATAGTGAGAATATTATCTTCAGAACGCTTAAACAAAAACGAAAGGGATAGCAGAAATATTTTGAACATAATAAGGAAAAGGGTTTGAAGAATTTGACACTCACTGGGTATATTGAAGGTAAGAGGGACAAGGGAAAACAGTGGGTCAAATACCTACTGAGCTTATAGCGAAATATGCATTTCAAAAGCTAAGTAAAGTATTAATAAACAGGAAAATTTCGTTAGAAACAAAGAAAAGAGTGCTGAACTGTTATGTAATATCAGTCCTCCTCTACGGCAGCGAATGCCGGATAATCTCCTCAAAGATGAAGAAGAGTCTTGAGGAAACAGAAATGTGGTTCTACAGAAGGATGTTGAGAATAATATAGACTGAATATGGGGGCAATGAATAAGTTTTACAAGGGCAGTTATACATAATATTTCGTTAGAAACAAAGAAAACAGTGATGAACTGTTATGTAAAATCGGTTCACATATATGGCAGTGAATGCTGGAAATTTTCTCACGGATAGAAGAGAAAGTCTGAGATAAGAGAGATTTGTTTCTACAGAAACAGGCTGAGAATATAATGGACAAATTGCGTAAGAAACGAGTAAGTGTTACAGTAATTGGCAACGAGGATAAATATACATCAAATATCGTTAGAAACAAAGAAAAGAATTCGAAAATCCGATGTAATAATCAAATCTCAAATGTCAGTGAATTCTGGACAATTTCCTCACAGATGTAGAGAAAACTTGAGACAACAGAAATGCGGTTCTACAGAAGGATTCTGAGAATATCAAAGTCGGAATATGTGAGAAATGAGGAAATTTTAAGTCAATTGAAAACAGAAAGATCACATACTCAGAATCAGGAAGAGAGAGTTGAAATTTCAAGGACACATAATGAGGAAAGTGGGTTTGGAGATTTTGGAAAGTGAACTACCAAATTAGCTTGTGTAAATGGATGGAAGAACAGGGTTTAGGAGCGGTAGTAAAAAGACAAATGCTACTAAGACCTATAAAGGAGAGGAAGTTGTGGAAAGCCATGATCGATCACGCCCTAACAACCCACACCCTGAATAGAAACGACACATAAAAGATGAAAAAGAAGAAGAAGAAGAAGAAGAAAACCAGTGATCAGTGTTTTAACCTCAAGCTAGGAATTCAGCTACAAATTTTCCCAAACGTGAGTGTATTTTAAACTTGGCGTAACACATTCTTCCATACCTCATTTGCCTTTATCTAACCTTGTTCTTGAAGTAGCAGTATGTTTCCCAACAGTACCTGAGATCAATATTCGAGCTAAGATCGTTAATGTTGATTTTCTAAGAATCAGACACTATCCATTTTGGAAAATCGGTGTAACACAATCGCCATCAATTACTCTCTTTATATTTGTGTCTTAGTAAACTAACCACGTGTAAATAATTTATAAGGTAAATGGTACATTTTTTTCTTCTAAAATATGTCTATTTTGGTGTTTCATTGTCAGATACTCGTGAGAAGAAAGCGTCTCATTGCAGTGATTGATTGTAAAACATAAAAAGGAAAACCTTAGACTCTTGCATTTTCTAATACAAAGAAAACTGTACGAGAATCTATATCAGTGATAAACTTGTTAGATTCCTCGCAACACAAAGTCCGAGCAAAGACGCTATCGAGGTTATTCAAGCAATTGTCGAAACAAAAGTGAAATCATTCTTTTAATATAAAACAGAAGACCAAATGCTCAACCTCTATATCAATATTCTCCACAGCAAGGAATGCTGGACAATTTCTTCACAGATGAAAAGAAGATTTGAGGCAACAAAGATGTCGCTCTACAGAAGGATACTGAGAATACCATGAATAAGATTGCGATGACACAAATTGGATCCTTTTTAGCTAAGCAAAACATTTTCTTGTAATGTGGGAATGAAATTGATTGCTTCATTAGCTTTTTACGACTTATCGACCTTTTCCGGGTTATTTAAAGTCAGAAAATATTTTTAGATTGTGAGAATTTGGGGGAGATAATAATGATTTAATGATACAAGTCTTACTAATTAACCCATAGCTGGAGGAGAGAAGAAGAGTATTTGTCCGTAAATAAATATATAACCCAACAGGAATTGGAACTCGGCTCTCCGATTAATAATTCCGAGTTATATCCAGTTCACCACCCGCACATCCAAGCTTACAGCAGCTGGTATTCCTAAGCGGTCACCCATCTAGGTACTGACAGATTCGACGTTGTTTAACTTCGGTGATCGTATGGAAGCCGGACTGAAATTCAGATATGAAAAGCCCTATAGAAACCAATTGTAAACTGTTTTTATGTTGATTTGCAGAGCTTGGGCGATTAAAGATCACTTTACTTTTGTCGGAATAGTCTTTCAGGAATAAATTCTTACGGTGAATTTATCGTCAATGTAAGTTCGATTTCCTTCGCGTTGTCCTGCCGCCATTATTCACCATGTTTATATGCGTTTACCTCGATTAATAATGCGCGGAAGCTTACTTAGCTTTTCGTATCTTACTCGTCTTGATTACTACGCAATTATCGCGGATGTTATTTTAAAATGCGTTTTTTTTTTTTTTTAAATGCACTTTTCTTAAAATGAAGGTTTAAATGAATATTTTTTTTTCTTTTCTTAGATTGGTTTAAATTTGTTACAGAAACAATTGAAAGCTTTTCTAATTAAATATAATTAAATATAATTAAACATAATGCCAATTAAGCAGAACGACTAAAGTATTTTTTTTATGTTTTGACATTTTGTAATCCTTTCTAGCGTGTATTTCTTTGAAATCATCAGATTCTTATATGTTAATTTTTTTCCAGGGAAAAACACATTGTTTTGGAAATTCTTGCAAAAATCAAGAAACTTTCACAACACAAGGAAAAAAAAACATCGTTGAAGAAAAAGTAGAACTTTTATTTTATTTTTTTAAACCTTTCAGGCACGTAATTTTTATTTTATTTTTCTGTTTTTTTCATTGTTTACTAATTTTTGGGTTCGTGACGTTTTTTTTTTACTTTTAAGATTTCGCGCGTTCACTTAAACTTCGCACATTGCGTAGTAATCAACACAAGTGAAGCTTCCGCGCCGCCTCACTACTCGAGACAAACGTATGTAAACAACACCAGTAATAGTGATCGTTTTGTCTACGCGACGAGAAAGAAGTCGAACTTACATTATGCATAACTTCTAAACGGTAATCAAGCGCAATGTTTTAATGTCATTTTCGAAATAATCAGGAGATTTCACACCAGAATGATACATTCCCATTAACGGGGGATTTTGGTGCTTATACTGCAAATTAACAATTCTTCCTTGCTGAAATTGCTTAAATTTTAGGTTTAAAAAATTAATATTCGGTGGTTGAATTACCAATTTTCTTTAACATCATTAGGAGTAGCGGTAAAGTCAGTGGGCTGAAAGACGAAATCCAGTCGACGTCGAAATACAGTATTTCACAGAATTTGTTATGTTACTATTTATATAATAACTGTAGTAAGCGAAAGAGTCGATGCATTTTTAAATTAATTCTACCTGCGATAGCATATGCTACATAAAATTCCAGTAATATATAATTAAATACCTTGACTACAGACAGCCACTTTTATCCCACCTGACAATATATAAAGTAGTAATTTGAACGTCGTACAGACAGCGATGCAGTTATAAATGGATTTAGTCTATTAACTGTAACATAAACTAATTCGACAGACTTAGAGCAGCGAAAAGAAAATGCTCGATCCCAGCTACTAGCTACATCTAAACCCAGCAGGAAGTTTTTGTCTGGGCTTCCATCTCTGGCAACCCCCCAAAGCCACCCAAGTTCAAAGATCGTCTAGACCGGCTTTATGTCCTAACATATGTAAACTCCCACCATTTTTTTTCCATTTTTTTTTTTTATTATTTGCTCTATTTTTAAATATTTTCAAAAATGTTGATTGCATGGCTTGCTCGATTGATGATCACTTTACTTTTATCGGAATGGCTTTCAGGAATAAATAAATTCGGCAAAGATCAAAATCTTATCAGCCGTGTCTAACTTAGCAAAGACAAAAATGTTAAGTGTAAAATTCAATTTTTTTAGAAGCCGACAAGTTTTTTTTTGGTACTTTTTAATTAGCCTTGACGTTTATATATGTTATGGTTTGACTTTGATAATTAATTAAGGTAAAAGTTATGACTAAGTCGACTTGGACACCTTGGCCTTCCGAGTGTTAAATAAGCCAAATATTTAGCGTTGTTTAACATTGAAATAGGCGACAGTCTTTATAAAAAACAAACAAACAAAAACAAAATGAAATAAAAACATATTAAAACATTATTTTCAAAAGATGACTAATATAAATACAATTTCAAAATCCTAGACATTCTGAATTTCGCTCTCAATCTCTCTCTATATATATATATATATATATATATATATATATATATATATATATATATATATATATATATATATATATGCGTGTGTTTTACATATATATATATATGTGTGTGTGTGTCTTCATATACATATGTGTGTGCCTTTATATATATAAGTGTGTGTGTGTGTGCTTTTATATCTATATATATATATACATCTGTGTGTGCTGTTATATATATATATATATATACACACACAAAATTATATATATATATATATATATATATATATATATATATATATATATATATATATATATATATATATATATATATATATATATTTTTTGTATATTTTACGTTATTTATATAGACACAAATATTTAATATTTGTTATTGCGGTTTATTATAAACAGAGCATTTACTTAAATATTTGTGTCTATATAAATAACGTATAAGAATATATTTAAAAAATTGGCGGATTTTGTCTATTACGTAATGTATATATAACTGTGTATTTCAGTAGCAATCCCACTTTTAAACAGGTTTCATTAATGACGACTGACAAGGTACTACGATGAAGATTTATTTCATTTATCTTGTGTTCATTTAAGTGTTTTTTGTTCTGGACACAAAATGTGTGTTAAAACTGTTCAAATATTCAAATGTTCTTTATAGACGAGATGTTTCGGCTATTCCTGTCTAAACCTAGCTTAATTAGGATTCATTTAAACACACATTGAAGCCTACTAAGCTCCGTCCGCAACATACCTGTAGACAATACTTAATAACTTCATCCATATGTAAAAAAAAAAAAGACTAAAAACAATGGAAACACTAATAATAACAAAGAAAAACCAAGTAAAATCAACTATGAACACGGCCACAATATGCTGACCCTGTTTGGAAAATTAAAAAAAAATTCTATAACTCGAGATACATGCATGAAAAGTTCATACATTCCGTTAAAAATAAAATCATCTTTGATAATGGCTAAAGGAATAGCCGAAAGAGTTCTGATATGCGGAACATTGAAGCAGTCTTTACACACTTTATGTCCAGAAAAAGAAAACAAATTAAATAAAAAGCTTCATCGCAGTATCTTATTTGTCGTCTGTAATGAAACTTTATATATGTTGGTCTCTCTCGCTCAAATGCGCCCCACACATAATAATCAAGTGTGTTGCAGTCTGTCTGGGGCTTTAGGTGGCCAGATGTAAGAGGTGATATGGCCGCAAAGATTGTTTGACACTCACGACTAGTTTCTCCTGTTTGTGTGGCATGGTGCAGAGTCCTGTTGCCAGGCATAGTTTCTTCCAGCAACCAACCACTTGGCCCAGAGCAGCACTCCTACCTCAAGGCACTTGATGTAGGCCTCCGTGTTGAATTTGAGTCCCTCCTAAACAAATTCGGGAGTTCTTTTCTTACCAGAACGATCAGAGTGAATTTTTTGTGCTGATCTATTTTCATAACCACCATTAGACTCATCCAACTCTTTCCGAATACCCATTACTATCCACAGATTGAAAATTAAACACTCTGAGCTTCCGGTACGAATACCAAGCAGTATAGCATGCTGTTTCCAAATTTCTGGCGGAGTGGATTGTGTCATGGTGATCTTTGTTTCACAGACGGCGCCCAACTGACCCTACTGTATTGTATTGTCGAGAAGATAAAAAACAACGCGCATGCGCGAAATTAAAAATATAAAATGGCGACAATTTACCTATCGCATTGCAGAGTTTCAAAAAAGTCACTGAAACTTTCAAGCAACATTCAGATATTCTAAGAATAAACATGAAACTCTCGAGTTTAATATTCCTCAAAAAAAGAATATTTGAAATTCTTAATCTGGGTAAAATATTATTTGCAATTAATTCAAATGTAAACAGACAATTTTAACACATATTTATTTATTTTATTTTACAATGGAGAAACGTTAGTATGTTATATTTTACTTCTACGCAATTATTATTTACTGAATGATGCAATTTTATATTAATATAAAGATTATTTATATATCTGCTCACGGTTTTTCTTAACCCGACATCCGTAACGGAATGAAAAATTTTATTCATTTTCTTTTTTTTTTCAAAGCATTTTACAAAATTTGCGCAGACAAAACCGGCTCGTCTACTGCACAGACAAATAAAACAAACCGGCTTGACAACTGCACAAAGACAGACAACCCAGTTAAAATATCTGCAGTTGGTGTAAACACAAACGATTTTAAAATCTTATCACCCTCAAAATATTTTCCAGCTTTTACTCTGCAACAGTATCCATCCAAAGAAGCTTGCCTCAGTTAAACCTTGTTTCCTGTTTAGGAATGGTGTTTCTAAAGTTTATTTCAACTGCTCTACTAGTAACGTCGCTGCCAGAATTGTGAAATATTATTGACTAATTATTTATTTATTTTTTGCTTCAGTCAGAATAGATGGGCTTGCCTATCGCCTAGTTCACACTCCGGTTTTTTAAAAAGGTGTAGAGTTTTATCCCTTGCTCTCTGTTTAAGATTGGGTTTCCGGTCCCTTCTAATGTCTACTTCAGCTCTTTACTTCTAACGACGCTGCCTCAATTCTGAAATAGTATTGACTAAATATTTTTCTCCTCAATAGAAGGAGATAGGTTCGTCTATTGCTCGGTTCATACCGATCTCAGGTTTTTTGAACAATAGTAGAGATTCATCCCTTGTTTCCTGTTTAGGGTTGTGTTTCCAGTTCCTTCCAAATTCTATTTCAAATTTATACTTGAAACATCTCCACCTAAACTCTGAACTTTTATTAAATATTTTCCCCCAATAGCCGTAAATAGGTTCACTTATTATCCATTTCATTCCCGGTCTTTAGGGGAGATGCTAGAAGTATAGAGTTTGAGTTAGATTTTAGAAGGAACCAGAAA